TTTTTAAACCAGTTTTGGTGTAAGTGAAAACGGCATCCACTAATTTTTGCATTGGGCCACATATACAATAAAGCACAGTGAATTGCTTTTACTTCAAGCTTTTTTGGATCGGCTTCATGATTATGTACCAAATCACTTCTTGTGATGGTGAGGTTCTCACAGCCTATTGTAAACACTTTTGCGGAACACTTAGTGTTTCTTTAGATGCAGCGCCAAAATATCTCGCCGCTTTTTAACACTTTCTGTTTCGAGAACGAATGATGCTCTACCACTAATAAATCTCGACCACGGGAACTTTTTATCAAACTCTTTTTTTAAATATCCGTATACGTGCACAAGTCAACGTCAAACAAGAAATAAATTACAACTGAAATAATTTAGTCACAATTTAGTGACAATAAATATTGGGAAAACCCGCTTGTCCTGCTTGGGTGCAAATGTCCATCGCCGCTAATTACCTACCTACCTGCTTCACGCCGCGGTGTCGAAATTTCCTATAATAAAATTTGACCCTTCGATTACCCCAGGTACAAAGACAATTTGGTGTCGAAAGTTCGCTCGCCGATGTTACTTTATCCTATAATTGTGGCTTATTCCCATTTAATTAGTAAACACTTTAAAATGCCACAAGAAAATAGGTTCAGAACAATGTCAATTAAACAAAAAAGTAAAAAGATTATAATTGATTTTATATAATAATAAGAAAAACATATATAATGACTGATGTTGATGTAGGTACTAACGCGATTATGAAAAAGCAAGATCAAATGAAATGTAAACGGGTATTTAGTAATAAATTTGTTAGAAAAACTAATATAGATCCGGAAAAGCGGAAGCAGCAGAAGTTAGATATGGTTTTCAATGACCGGAAGCCTTCCCGCCTAACAATGCAGAAGAATAAAGATGTTTTCAGGTATAAAAGAAACCCTTACAAGTTTAGTCAATAAGCACGAGATTTTTACCAAGTGAGCTACATATCTGTAAATGTAGTATAATTTTTGAGTACCTAACTTTAAAATGTTTAGTTTTATGAAATCCATTCACGAAAAAGACTATTAATAAAAAAACGTTTTACATATTTATCACAAAATTGACTTTTTGTAATTGCATAGTTGGATATTATGTAAATTTTTTATTTGTATTATAAATTTATTGCATAATTAATGATAGTGGTGCTTCTACATGTTGTTTATTCAATTAGCCCCGTGGCTTATTCTTCTAGAGTATATATATTATTTTTAGTTACTCTTTTTTTAAAATTGATAATGTCCTTTAAAAAATTTAAATTCGTGTAGAATTAGAACAGTTAGATCTAGAACATTTTAGTTTAAAAATTAATAACAGATCATGTCTTCAGATAATAAAATTGTCTATGGTTTGACTATGATCCGTTAAGTGATTGCTGTAAGGTTGGCTATCTATTTTGTTTAAATAGCTCTTGGGAAAAGTACAAAAAAATGATTTGGAAGCATCCATAATTTTTAAAATAGAAAAAATGGATAAAGCAAATGTTCGCGTAGGCAGATAATATAGTTGCTATTTTACAGGGATCAAAAATCATTATATTAAGATTGAGGAGAAGCATTATAAAAAATTATAAAGCTACTGTTATTAACGTAAGGTAATATTATAAGGTGACAGTGTGAAAAGAACTGCATTATATGATGCAATGATAGACTTTGTGATCCCACCTAAGTTAGTTAAGTTAACCTAACTAACAATGCAAAACGTAGGGAGAAAACTCTACCTTCTTTGACATTAATATTGGTCTGACACAGGGGGAAGAGCTGGCGTGTCTCCTCTTTAATATTGCCTTGTAACAGACAATCAGACAATTAAATATTAGAATGAATGAAACTATTTTTAATAGATCGAAGCAAATTATCGTATTCGATATAGTTATTGTGGGCAGAAGTATGAGAGACATAGTGCAGTGTTTTACAAGGCTTGCGGACGCGACAAGTGAATTAGGACTTGTGGTAACGAGGAAAAAACCAAATATATGTTATAATATCCAACAGAAAATTCAAATTGACCACCAGACCTTGAAGCAAGTCAAAGAATTCATATATCTTGGATCCCTAGTAAACGCAACAAACACTACAAGCGACGAAATTAAAAGACGAACAGCAATAGCAAACAGAACTGGTCACGGTCTCCAGAAACATTTAAAAAATAAAAATATAAAACGTGCAGTAAAGCTGAATATATACTGAACCTTAATAAGACCGGTTTCGATGTTTGGAGCTGAAATGTGGACCTTATCTCAAAATGATAAAAGAATTCTTGGTATTTTTGAAAGAAAAATTCTTAGAAAGATTTTTGGGGCCGTAAATGAAACTGGGATATGGCGTCGAAGATACAACTTAGAACTATATCAGTTATACAGCGATTCACATATTGGGAAATTCGTTAAAGTGCAGAGACTTAGATGAGCTATACACATTGCTAGGATAATATATCATGAATACAAGAAGAGATTAATATTTTCAAAACCAAAAGGTACAAGAAGTAGAGGACGACCACGAAGGAGATGGATTGATGCTGTGGAAGAAGACCTATAGATTCTAAGGGTCAGAAGATGGAGGGAAGTTGACAGGAATCGACATAAGTGGCGACTTTTTTGTGAGCAGGCGAAGATTAATAATGGATTGTCGAGCCATTTATGATGATAATCAATATTGTAAGGTATGGGTAATCAGATATGCAACAGCAACAATGACACTAAGAAAACATGAAGGATAAAATGATAATGGATACATGATGTTGATTTATAATGAAAACGCTGATGATATAGCTTAGAGAAAGCTGCAATATTAATATATAGCACAGATTCAACTATGGTTTTAATAATATGTGGTAATATGCGGACTAAGCAAGAAATTAAGTTTGTTCTCAAGAGGTGGTAAAAACCAATTGGAAGAGTGGGCTACCATTTATTTATAAAAATTTGAATGAGAGAAGGCATTAAAGCAGTTGATGTATTTACTTGCAGATGTATTTAAACATAGTATAGGAAATAAATACAGAAGATCTTAAAATTTAAGAAAATTTAAAGTATATGGTTATTACAAGATAAAAGCAACAAAACTGTATTTTATAACCAACCAAAGGATCTACAAAATTCAAAAACCTAGTTCCAAAACAAAGTTTCAAATGTACGATATATATAAGAATTAATTTAAAAGTAATTAATTTACGGACCTGGAAAAACTATAACTTAAGATAATATCTACAATTTATTTAAAAATTGTTCTAAACACATTGTTAAGAAGAGTGAATTGAAACGTTTACTCAACATTTAAACGATTATGAAGTTACTACTGTATAGTACAGCAAAAATTTACTTTAAAATCAGCTAAAGATAGACAACAATAGACTATAATTTCCAAAAATGGAAAAAACGACTGGCAAAAGATAGCTTGAAAAGATTAAAAACGGAAAAACGATTCTGGTGAGGAAAAACTGCAGTTTCAGACAGTTTTAGACATGTATATTTTAAACTACAGTATTACGTTATGGGTAATACATAAATTTATGATAAAAAATTAGATTCACAAAATCTTAGGTACCCAAGTTTCCTGATCAATGGAATGGGGAAAGAAATTATGTTAGAGCCAGAACAAAGAAGTGATCGATGGCATAGGACACCTAGACGAGAACTAAAGCAACATTTTTACTTTACAAACTTTTTAATTTACAAAACCAAATAAAAAAAGGAATTTAAAAAAAATTATCAAAAATATGATTAAATAAACTGCTTTTAAGTAATCCTCGCAAGAGTAAGATCTAAAGATTTCTACCTTTTTCAGATACATTATTACATAAATGCTGATTTTATTAAATTACCCTGCCTTGTCCAAAAAAGTTAACATTTTATTAAATTACCCTGCCTTGTCCAAAAAATTTAATATTAACGTGATAATTTAAATGAATGTTTCGTGCAATTGTGGGGCGACTTTTTTCGGAATGCCTGATACAAAATCCCACTGGGCAGATTATTGTGAATACAAATATAGTAAAAGATGCAAATAGTTCGTACATAACGTTGGTAAAGAAAAAATGTAGAAGGGCAGATCCGGAAAGGAATATACTATAAGAAAAAATAACCAAAAAAAGTGACGTTATGGAGAGGAAATAAAAGATGAATGGATGGTATTAATGATAAATAATAAAAATAATATCAGAAACATCATTTTCTTGAACGATTTTAAAGGATTTTATACCCCACTCTCTTGTTTTTGGTTAATAAAAACTATTTCTTTCTATTTTTATTTCCGGTCGTTTGGTTACAAAAATTATTTATCGTCTATTTGATTTAATAAAGATAGCATTCAAGTTAATGTTTGGAAATGTTTATTGGTTTGAACCTGCAGATAGAATTATGATCTTTTTCCCTTTTTTTTTTTAATAAACTGTCTAATCAAGTAGTAATAAAAATTCCTGATTTTTTGGGAATATTTTTTGTTTCTTTATATATTATTTTCAAATTATCTTAGTGTACTTTTCTCGGAAATTATGATGGTTAGAATTTATTTTATTATTTTTTATTTAAGAACATTTTTGTAACAGGCTATAATGGTTTCAAGAACACTGTATCAGAGAACTACGAACTGCGTTCGTAGTTTTGTTTAATTTGCCATTCTCGTATGTTAAATTTACTACTAATACCTATAATACAGCACTTGATACTGATATTCTCAGACAGAAGAAAATAGTCAAAGGGGACAATGACGTTCTGTATATTGTGTGCTCTATATTAACAAACAATAAATTAATTCAAATGAATAAACATAAATGAAAAAGAAATTTCTCTTAAAAAAATACACGTTTAGGTATATTTTATTTTACATTGAAAAATTTATATTTTTATTTTTATTAGTTTTGCTCCATTAGGTATTTTTTAAATGTAATACAGATATCTTTAAAACCATTTTAAATTTATATTTATATATTTACTTAAAAAAAAACAACTTCAATATTATCTAGTTATTGTTTTTTTAAGTGCTTTTGAAGGAAAACTGTGGGAATCCACCTACAGCTCTACATTTTTTAATTCTTTTTACTAGAAATTAATAAACGAAAGAGTTGGTATTATTACTGTAATTTACATATAAAAGGGGATGTAATAAATTTTACCCTCCACCTTCGTACGCGTTCTTTGTGAAATTCCGTCTAGACGAAACGGAACAGAACAGCAATGCTTTGAATTAGGCAGAGGCTGAACGCTCGTGAACAGCTGATTGCCCCTCGTGGACTGAAAAGGACCAGGCCATCCGAAAACAGCGCGAGAGAAAGCAGGAGGGCCATACGACCGATTAGTAAGTGCGATAGAGACGATTTGGGAACATTCAACCCTGATTTTACACGCACTTGATTCAGGTTATCGCGATTTACATACCGATTCATTACTTGAATGATAATAGATTTGAAGTGTTTACGATTGTAATATCAATAATAAAACTCACCTGCTATTGCCATCCAAGGGTAGAATGTGTGATTCGTCTGTTGATGGATCTGTGTACCAACGGGCTGAGATGATGATGAATTTAAAGAACAAGGGTTGTTCCATGACGATAATGAGTTCGACGTCCTTCCTCCTGTCGCTGCTCCGGGACTAGAAGACGGATCTCCTCCAACGAGTCCTACTGAAGAACCGTAACCGACTCTAGAGTCTGGAGTACAAGCCGCCGGGCGAACTGGGCCTGTTAGACTATTAGAAAGATTTGCACCAGCACCGGATGTCGCACTTTGCCAAACGTCTTTTACTGCGGCTGCTGCTACCACTGAAGCGTAACCATTTTGATCTGCATTGCCTTTTGAACAGTCTGATTTTGTCGTGGATGAACTGTAGTTTACTGAATTCTGTTGGCCGTCTGAGGAAGATGAATATAATTTGCAAGCTGCGGCGACCGAAGCATCGTATGGAGAGTCTTGTGGAGGTCGAGCTTGGTGTAGAGAATGTGCATGATGATGTTGACTGGATGCATATGGAGACATACCTAGACTAAGAGGAAAAGATCTGTAAGCAGCTGCAGCGGCTGCACTTTGATGGTCATGGTGATGGGCTCCCGTCACAGAACCAGAACCCTGGTGATGGTGGCCTCCGTAGAAACCACTTTGTTCGAAGTAGGAGTTCATTATTGTCGCGTTAATTTTGGCTGATGTGTAATAATCCCTCAAAAACTGAGGGATGTCCTTTTAACAATTAAAAAAATAACACAAGTTCACTAAGTTCACAAGCACTGAATGTCGATGGTTTGTTTATTTTTATTAAGTCAGGCACTGGTGTCACTAAAGCGAGATAACATCTTCATAATGCGAATTAAATTAGTCATTAACGTGTCTAAATAGTCATTCAATATTAAAAATAATGGTTATTGTTACGACGCAATAATAATAAAAATGGTCAATAAAAATTCAGTTTACTACGACAATATTGAGCACGAGGCAAACACACGGCGCGAATGTCGGGTCCGGAATGCACACCGTAACTAGTTTTATCGCGGATAGGAACCCACTGGATAGCTCCGGAGAGCAGAATCCGGCCCACACATCCCGGCCCATTCGCCATCCTGCTTTCCCCTATCCACCTCTCTCTCGCGCGCACTCATGTCCTCCCCACTTCTACACAACAGCACGCGGCTATAATTGCCACTTCATTATTCGGCTACCTGTATTCGAAAATACTCAATTCGATACAGATACTCAAAATTTGAAAAGAACCCTTTTATAAAACTACCCCTTACTGTTCTTAACAAAAAACAACCCTTATTACTTTACTTTTCTGTCAATTTTATCAAGTTTTTAGGAGCTACAAAAGTTTTTTTGTAGTCTTTATATTTATATAGAGTTATCTAAAGGATTTATTTATTATTTTTACACTAATTCTATAATAATTTATTAAAAAGTGTATGAAAATATTTCGCAAGTAATAAAGATGAATGTATCCTAATAATGGAAGGGATCATAAATGGACCAATAGCAATGGCATCGCTTACTGTGCCGGCGCCCACATCAAGCATTGCGCAAGGAAAATATATCCCCTAACGACCTCCAGTTCACAAACCATTCTCCCCACCAAGCGCGTGTTGTCTTTGTCACTCTCGCGGTGTTGGCCATGCTGGCAGCGTGTCGCCCTCTGTCGATCAAGTGCTCAACTCGTAAACCAGATACTTTCAAGCTCTCAAACGAGCAACATCAAAGTATATTGGTGCTTCACGTAATTGTAAAGTATAAAATTCATTGTTAACTTCTAGCTGGTCGTAAAATGGTGACTTTAGTGAGAAAATCTCACTTTCAGACAACGTTTTTACGAGCGACTGAGGTAAAAACATCATTTTGATGGGGTAAATCAGAGAAAAATTGTACTTTAATCAATGATTCGAGTTGATAAAGTTTGTTTTAAACGTTTTACAGTATTTAATATTTTAATAAATGGATCATTTCTTTTTTAAAAACTATTTGCTAAATTTTAAAATTTTTAAAATCATGATATAAGTTAATATTAAAGAAGGATTATTAAATAATGTTTTACCTATAAATTTCTTTACTTTACCTGTAAATTACATGAAAATAATAATTAGTGATTCATTTCTTACAGACATAAATTAATAATAAAAACATATTCTCTATTCATCTGTATTTTTGCAGTCATTTGTTACTTTTATATCCGTACCATAAACGATCCAAATTCTTTACGAAAGATCTGAGAAAAACTGATGTTTATATAAGTGTTAAAATGACAGGTTATTATTTTTAAAAGACTTGTAGTCTTCTGCCATAAAACTGTACTATCAGATTTCAAATCAAAAATAAAGATAACAGTGCTACACTTAATTTTGACAATATTCATTTTTGTCTAAAAGGACATAGATAATCTTTCAATCACCTCTCCATTGGACACTTTGATGTTACTTTATCGTATAACTAAACTTTTAAAATATTAAATATTTTGTTTATTCTGTAAACATGTTCCAAACAAAAATCACTTTTCTCTTCTTTATGTAGTTGATATAATTTGAGATTTTGGCTGCCTTTCTTTCTTCATCGTTTCTATGATTTATCAAAATTTTAGTGTCATAAAAATCATACAATTGTGTACCACGATTGTCAATTTTAAGCAAGATATTATTTTTTTTTTTTCGTCATAACTGAGTATGAATTACGAAGATAAAAAACCTATATTTTTTATAGTTTGTAATAAAAAAATAATTGAGTCTACGAGACGTTCTTGTGAAAACAACTAAATGTGTTAGTTTAACAATCATAATACCAATAATGTTCAGGGAACAGACTTATACCCGAGATTCATCTAGGTGAATTATACAAAAAAAAAAACAATGATAGAACAATATGTAAACAGACTAAAGCTTAATTGATAATGAAAACTATGACAAATCAATTTCTCAACAGAAAACTAAATTTCCGAAGAAAAATACTAAAAAGAGCGTATTCCGTAGAAACTTTTGTAAAAAATGGTGACCAATAACATGGTGTCTGCAAAACAAGATTTGTAACTCTCCTTAACTGTTGTCATAAATTACTGGCAAAAAATGTTTGTGATCAATAATGTATGAAAACACAGTGCTACGGAATACTAAAAATTGCGAAGTATAGAATTTGTGAGTCTGTAACAATTTGAAACTATATAGAATCCACTAAAATAACTGACAAAGTACAACAAAGTAACTTAGTCATGGGTACCAGAGTATAAAGGATTTAGTGGTAATGAGACTGCTGATAATCTTGTTAAAGAAGGAGAAGGAGTTAAAGAAGGAGATGGCCTAAGGAGGACCATAATCAGTCGCAGAGATAAAAAAGTAAGTTGTTTTGGACGACGTAGTCAAACAAATATAATACAAAAAGAATAATCGGCAGCACATATAGAGCTGTTTATCAACCTTAGAAAGTCATATCGCAGTGTTAAAAATTTGCTGGTTTGAAATTAATAACCAGCTAGCTCCAGAAATATGAATACCAAAAGGATTAAAGTAGGTAAGTAGTCTATCGCCCAACCAATTTAATAAAAATCTCTCCCATTAGAAAAATGGAGCAGAGAATGCTCTATTATGGGGATCGCACTAAATCATAGGACTATATATCGGAGGGTGTCTTCTTCGTAGGGTGTCTGTCTGTTCCGAACGTTGGTGATCATTCTGGCTATGATGACTTTGTTGGTTGCTATACGGAATAGCTGTGTTGAGGTCTTTCTATACCATGCTCGTAGGTTAGCAAGCCAGAATATTCTTTGTCCTGGGGCCCTTTTTCCTTCAATTTTACCTTGTAAAATACATTGGAGTAGCTCATATCTGCTTTGATTTCTCATTATATGTCCCAAGCACTGCAGCTTACGGCCCTTCACGATGTTGACCAAATCCGTTGTGTTCATCGTCCTTAGTTCTTCTTTATTGGTGACTGTCTGTTCATAGCATTTTCAGGATCATTCTGTATAACCATAGCTCAAAAGCCTGAAGTTTTGATAGAGTTTCCGCCTTCAATGTCCATTTTTCTATTCCGTACAGAAGCACTAAGTATACGTAACATTTAAGGAACCTTATTTTTGTTTCTAGGGAGAGGTCATGGCTCTTGAACACAGAGCTCATAGTCAAGAATGCACATTTTGCCTTTCCCATGGCTTGGGTATTGTCCCATAACTCATTGATTATAGTTCCCAAGTAGTTGTACTGTGAGACACGTTCAATTCTCATTTTGGTTCATATACAGATTTGCTCCAGATACGTTTTCCTTGCTGATGATCATTAGCTTGATTTTGCTGATGCTTATATCCAGTCCATATGTTACACTTGTTTCCCTTATTTTGTTCATTAAGTTCTATGGTATTGGAAAACACTATTATATCATCTGCACAAAGCAGATGATCCACATATCGGAGGGAAATAGCAATAATTTTTAATTAATGTTTTCAGTTGATCCATCATTACTGCTCCGCCATATTTCAACAATTCATTTGGTATCCCATCTTTACCTGCAGCTTTTCTCTTCTTTAGTTTTTCAAGTATTTTTTACACTTCATAATTGCTTATGTGAACTTCTTCATTTCTGCTACTTTCCGGTGTTTGTGGTTTCAGCATCATTTGTTGTTTCTCTATATATAACTACTTGAGCTTGAGCTAAGGGAAATTAATCACTGTAAAGGGATTTTATGGGACCAAACTATAACGAAAGATAACAAAAAAAGAATATATAATATATATAATACTATATTTAGAAGTATTTTGGTCTACGGCAATTTGGTCTGTCCAATTAAATCAATGAAGAAAAGAAAGAATAACGAACAGAGCTATTGAACTTGTTCAGCGTATGGATACAAGTAGAAAACCAAAACACACCCTGAAATGAAAACCAAGACGAAAAAGAAGACCAAAAATGAGCTAGAGAGCTGAAGAAGAATTTAAAGAATAGTTGATCGATGGAAATGGTGGTGAATATTGCTTAGAGTTAGCTTCAGGTCTACCGTGTGAATCACTGTTTGATATCGACGATAACCTGGGATGGAGAGACAGTTATTGTTACACCAAAACAATGTCTTAAAATTATTAAACAAAAAAGAAGAAAGTTAGAAAGATCAATGTTAAGTGTAAAAGAACAAACAAAAAGAAATAGAAGGAACCGAAATTTTTGGTAATAGGACACTGAAAATAATTGTAGATTAATAATTCAATGGTATCCATTGTCCACTGTTCATGGTATCTTGAAGATACCATGGACACACAAAGTCACCAATGAAGAAGTACTCCGGAGAATGAACACAACTGCGGATTTGGTCAACATCGTGAAGGGCCGTAATCTGCAGTATTTGGGCCATATAATGAGAAATCAAGGCAGATACGAGCTACTTCAATGCATTTTACAAGGTAAAATTGAAGGAAAAAGGGCTCCAGGACAAAGAAGAATATCTTGGCTTGCCAACCTGAGAGCATGGTATAGAAAGAACTCAACACAGCTATTTCGTATAGCAACCAAAAAAGTCATCATAGACAGAATGATCGCCAACGTTCGGAACGGACAGGCACCATAAGAAGAAGAAGAAAGATTTATTATTTTTATTAGTGCCACCAAAGGCTTCAGGAAACCAATGGTTATTTTTTTTTCTGTAGTTGCATAATTTTTTATTTCAT